CCTCCTCCTCCTCCTCCTCCTCCTCCTCCTCCTCCTCCTCCTCCTCCTCCTCCTCCTCCTCCTCCTCTTCCTCCTCTTCCTCCAGACCAGGACTTGCTATGCTGCCCAGACAACAGGCTGGTTTTGAGTCGCCACACCTGGCCCTTTGCCCTCTAAAAACAACAAACCCGTGAAAACATGAACAGCAAGGATCGTAAGGGAGGGACATTTAGGCAGCTGCAGAGGATTAACACAGCCTTGAAGTGGAGGCGGAGGCCCGGTCAGTTTAGCACGCTGAGGGGAAGCCAGGTCTCACACATTCACTGTGGTTCCCTGTTAGGAGCCTGAGAGCAGACCCCATGCCCACATTAACACCTTGTTAAGTGTAAGGACTGAATCATTGGGTTTCCTACTCTGCCTGTGTGACTTCACCCAAGTCAGGTCATGTCTGAAGCTCCAGCTTGGCATTGGCCAAATGGAAAAAGACCAACAGCGCCCACCTCACTAGGAAGGCTGAGGAGAGAATGCAGTGATGGTTTCTGGGTCCCCAACAAGAGTTCCTGGCAGAGGGTGGTGCCTGGGGCCTCGGTGCCAGCCCACATGTAGTCCACTGAGGACTGGGTCTCTGAAGGAAGGTACAAGAACCTTCTGGAGAATCAGAGCTCACAGAATGATATGTGTCTTAGCTTACTCATAGGAAAGTCTCTAATGAGAAGGGATTCCCCAGAGCGTGAGGACATTAAACTTAAGCCAGACAAATGCAGGGCAGAGATGAGAAGAACTTCCTGGAAGTCAGGGCTGTCCAATTAAATTGGAAATAAGAGTTTAGAGCTGGGCTGAACAGGAGTGGCAGAATGAGAAGGGCTGGGACGCTCAGCTGCCCTGACAAGTGGGCCTTGAGACACGCACACCACAAGTCAGGTCTGTGGCCTTTGACTAAGGGACAAGGACTAGGACTGATGGAAATTGACCGTGGTTGGGGAAAAGCTGCCCCTAGCTATGAAAGCTTTTGCAAGGACTAACGTGGAATCTTAACCTGCCCACTCTCGTGGGCTTTGGGGACACCCTAAGGCTGCAGACACTTAGGAGAGCCAGAGTCAGCACAGACTGAAGCACTTGAAGGAAGGAGCACTAAGGACGTGATCTCATGTGTGTATCGGATCTCACACCTGTATCTCCCAGGACAGACCGGAAAAAGCCTTTGCAGGTTGTTAGGCCAACTCAGGGACCCTCTTCAGTGATGTCAGGCAGACCTTAGAATACAAGGCCTTGTGGGTCTCCTCCAAAAGAACAAGTTGTCCATTCCTGTCCCCCAGAACCCAAACAAATCAATCGTCATTTCCAGGAGACGCCACTAGGGGCAGCCTGGTGGTCCCCGGATGTAATAGGGCAGAGAGAAAACAGAGCAGCCGCAACAAGGGAGAATGCACTGTTGATGTTCTTTGGGGTTTGTTGCTGCTGCTGTTTGCTTGTTTGTTTGTTTGTTTGTTTGTTTTCCTATGTCTGAAGCTTCCTCACTGGAAGCAGGGGGAGGGGGTGTCGGGAGCATTCCACAGGTGAGGGGATTTGTACAGACACCCCGAGTCTCACTGGTAAGGACTTGCTGGGATCCTGAGATATAAAATCCCTCCTAGTCTGGGTGAAATTTTTGAAGACTTCTAGGGGCTACAGGTCAAAGACAGAGGAAGGCCCAGTCAGAGAACAGCAATGAACATCAGACACCCTACTCCAAGATCGGCCCTGGGGAAACCCCACAGTGACCCTGCCTCTGAGGGCCCCTGTTCCTCCTTTTCATACTTCCTCTGTCACCCTGTGCCCTCAGCCGAGGTCTCACATTCCCACTGTGCCCCAGGCTTCCTCCAGCACTAGAACTGACAGACATCTTCATACACAGCAAAAGAGCTTAACCCCTTTCCTGCTGAGCCACCCCCATCCGCAGAACCCTGCTCAGCCTGTCCCTGAAGGGATAGCACTAAACCAGGGGTGGCACTGTGAAACCATTCAGATACCAACTATCTAGCAGACAGACAGGGACCGAGAGGTGACAATGTCGGCAAGCATCCCCCAAATGGAATGTTCTGGGTCTTCCGGCAAGTCAGCTCAGTCCATTCACCAAATGCTGATGCCAGGCTAGCACCAAGTTCTATGCAAGGGGCTGTCCCTGCTTCAGGGGCATTTAGTGAAGGGCTGAGACACATATACAGTAGCTACAGTGCTAGAATAAGGAAACAGCAGCGCTTTGGAAGAAACACAGTGAGCAGGGACCACAGTCAGTGGGGTGAGAAACGAGTGCTGGACCTGAGAGGGGTTAAGAGGTTATGAGTATGGATGGGGGATGCTTTGGGTACCATTGAGGAAGACTATTTGAGCAAAAGCTTCAGGAAAGCTGAGGCAGATTCAAGGAAGCTGACACACAGGGAGAAGCGGAAGAAAAGTGGAGATTGTAACTGGGATCCAATGAGGAGGCCCTCGAACGCCAGGAGAAAGGGGGTTTGCCCCCTCAAGTCAGCACCACCCAGAGATGGTCGGCTTGGAAGGCGGCATGTCCCCAGTGAGCCATCAAAGCAGACTCTGGAGTCTTTGGGAAGCATTCCCTTCCCATAGTCTTCTTTGTTTGTTTAGACAAAAGCCTCATGTAGCCCAGGATAACATTGAACCTCTGATATTTCAGTGCTGGAATAAGAGGCATAGGCCATGCCACCATGCCCAGTTTATACTAGTGCCAGGGATCGAACTCAGAGCCTCGTGTATGGCAGGCAAGCACTCTACCAACTGAGCCACACCCCTGGCCAAGTTTGCTTGTTCCCTTTTTTCTTTTTTTATGTTTACAATTACGTGTGTGTGGGGGTCAGAGTCTTTCTTTCCATGAGGTGGGTCCTGAGGATCAAACTCGGGTCTTCAGACTTGTCTGTGTCTCCCGAGCCATCCCGTTTGCTTGTTTGCTGGGTTTTGTGCCAGGGTCTCACTGTGCTGCACCAACGGACTCCGAATGCTGGGGTTCACAGAGTGCTTCCACTCCGGCCTCCTAGGCAGCTGGGACAAGAGTCCTCCACCACTCTCAGCTCCAGGCTAGAGCACGCTCGTCCACACCACTGGGTCTCTGCTCACTCTTTGTTTCAGAAATGTCCTCTGTGGAGCCCCAGCAGCAGCTCACTCTGGATAGCACTGCGGTCTCATCAATTCCTCCAGGAAGCCTTCCTTGCCTCCCCTGTGTAGGAACTGGTCCCTCTAATGTACAGGCATGGTTCCTGGCTCATGATTTCTGCGTCTTCCTTTCTCAGTGTTCTGTCTGTCCATCCGTCTCCCCACAAGTCTGAAATTCCCTTGAGTCTGGCATTCTTTCTTTTATCTGGAGATCCATTACACCTTGCCCCCCCCCCCCAGAAAGCGGGTAGAGAGAACAGGAGGCCCCAATGTTAGTGCAAAGCAGTAGCGGGCCACAGTGACCTGGCCACCTTGTATGCATTGTCTCCCATGATCTGCCAGCACCCGCTCAAGTCCCCAGTCTTTCCCCTACCCTTCAGAGACATAAGCACCCCATTTGCTGCCCCCTGCTGCCGGTAACTTCTAGCAGCACCTCATTAACTCAGGTGGTCTGCCTCTCCCTAGAGATGTGGACTGGGTAGGTCAAGGCTCAAGCTCATTTTCTGGACCTTCCTGCCTCTTGAGGCTTTTATGCCAACCCCCACAAGACCCACCACCGGGCCCTATAGTTACCTTTAGGAAGGAGCCATTGGATTCTCCAAGCTCGGATCCTAGAAGGACACCTCAGCAGCTGTGGGGTCAAGCAGGGAGCCCGATGAAGAGCATCTGGCCCACGGCATGGTAAAGGAATGTTCTTCATGCTATGGGTACCAGGGACTTCTAAGGAAGCTGAAAGGGAAGAGAATCCAGGAGCTCCCCTCTCTTCAGACCAGTGACCCCCAATCCCTCCCAGTAGAGGCCAGCCTCTGGCACCTCAGTCTTCAGTTGAAAGAGGGGCCTATTCCATTCCTCAGGTTGCGTTCCCTTCTCAGCCTGCCTCAGGAGTCCATCCTCACAGCACAGAAAAGCTGTACAAAGGGGGTAGTTGTAGAAAGAACAGCCAGACGGAGGAGCCAGAACAGAAGGAATGAGAACAAGAGACCCGGAGAGTCCACCTGCCCACACACCTGTGGCTGGCCACACCTCTGTCTTTAGCTGTGTCTGGGAACCTCTCCTCCCAGGGAGGCAGGATACAGGCCCTGGGGCACTGGCAGGTGGAGGTGGGACCTCAGCCTTGAGGGAAGCGAAAGGATTAACTCTCCCGGGCTCTATGGGAGACATCACCAGCTCACCCCAGGGAGATGCAGGTCCAGGACTGTCGCTGGTACCTTCTCAATTCCAATTTCCCTCTTCCTCCTCCTCCCATCTCCGTCTGGGAAACAGTGGGAGGAGCCGCTGGGAACCCTCAGCACCAACTGTCTCTGGGGTGTCGTTTCAGATGCCCAGTAATCATCACCACCTGGCTCATTAGCTCTCTCTCTCTCCCTCATGGCTACTCTTGCCAGGCCTGGATCTGTCTTCCTCTTCTCCCTCCTCTTCCTGCCCTTCCCCAGTGTGAGTGATAGGAACGGACAAACGCCAGTTCTAATCTCATCCAACCCCTTGCCCCCAATGCACACCGCTGGCCCATTAGATCAGCGGGGTGGCAGGAGGCAGGATGGACGCAACCAGAGGTCCAGAGCCCTCACAACATCATAATCGGAAAAGGGACTCTTGAGGGCAAATCTATCGCTGAGAACAGGCACAGAGATTCAAACAACCAATGGTAAAGATGCCTCCCCAGACTGAAAGGAGCCATGGGAGACAGTGAGAATTAGAGCGAACACCGTTTGCACTGAACACAAGGAGATGACTTCTGAAAGGGTTTCATGGACTGGAGGATGCTTTGTGTATTAAGAGGTTGTGTCAGACCCGGTCCAGTTGATTGACCGGAGGAAGATGCCCCCGACAGAGCCACGGGATGCCTCTTATTTCAAACACCCAGTCTTTTCCTCAGACTGGGTGGCATGACTCGTGGATGTGAAAAAGCCTTTCACAGGGGCACAGTACCACTTTCGAGAAACTGTTCAGTCTGTGTAGTTCTTAGGAAAACCACGCTGGTCCACCCCGGAGCAGTGCGGTGGGAGGATGCCCCCACCTGGTATGCCCCCTCCCTCTAGGCTTAGGTAATGAGAGCAGAGTTGGGTATAGGCTCAACCCGACCCCTGATCCCTCCCTAAATCAAAAGCAAAGTCCACAGAACCTTACACCAGGTTGCCAGGGCAGGCCAGCAGGTCCGCTGGAGATAAGGGCTACACTTTGGACTCCATGGCCAGAGGACAGCTAAGGTGCCGAAGCTCCCCGGACCTACGCCCTTCCTGATTCCAGGCTGGCTCCCCTCTCTGGGTAACGGTCTAGGATAGGCAAGAGGGACAGGGGCGCAAAGAAGGGAAGGGTACCTGCCACAAGTCCCTCGGTCATTACCCTCACCACCTCCGCCTAGCGGCACCCAACCTTTCATTTACCCCTCATTACCCTGGCGCCTGGCAGGGATCTGACCGGGAAGAGAGGGCGCGCTGGTGGCCCGCGGGTGGAACAGGTTCCAGCCCCAAGCCTCGACCAGGTGACAGATGACTGGCAAATTCAAGGGCAAAAGAAAAGAAGAGGGCGCACACCACGACCTGAGAGCTCCTGGTCCTGGGGTGGTTGGTGACTGTGTCCCGGGAGTTCGGCTCCAAGTCCTCCCCTCCCGGGTGACCAAGACCGCGGCGCAGCACGGCCCGCAGGGAGGGGGAGGTGCCAGCTCGTGTCCCGCCCCTCTGCCTCCACCTTCGCCTCCCCTCCCGGCCCCGTGCTGCCCGGTCCCTCGGGCCGCTCGGTCCCAGTCTCAGGCTGGGATAGAGGGACTGCCATCGCCGAGGAGACTGACAACGACCCTGAGCCCCATCGGCCCCAGCAGGCATCGAGGACAGTGGAAGCCGGGACACCTGCGCGCACAGGTGAGAGCTGGGAGGGCGGGGGCCGGGCGGGCGGGGAACCGGGAACTTGGGGCAGGGTCGCAGGGCCTAAGAAGGAGGAGGGGGTGGGGACCTGGGCCTGGGAAAGGATGGAGAAGGTGGAAGTGGGAAGGGATAGTAAGGAGGGGGGCTGACCTCAGGGGCAGGACTGTTGGTCGTGGGGTTGGGAGACAGAATGAGCAATCTCCTCTGTGCCTAAGTCTAAGAAACTCAGGGGAGAGAAATGGAGGGGCCAAAGAGGCCCACTTGGTGGGAAACCTGCCCCTGTAATGTGTTCTTGAGCCCAACTCCCATTAAGGGCCTCTTCCCTCCAGGCCCTGCCTACTGGAAGGGATGGGTCTTCCATCCAGGTTTAGGAAGGAGGGGTGGAGTCCTGCGTCTGACTTCCAGCTCCATGGTGGTGTCCTCAGAGGCTGGGAAAGACTGACATTAGTAGGAGACCAGAGCGCCGCCGCCGCTGCTGCTGCTGCTAGGCTCGCCTCTAACGACCCTGTCTGACAGTTCTCCCAACTTCACCAGCCTGTGCGCGGCCTTGGGGGTCCAGGTAAGGGGCGTGCAGACTTTTCAGTAAAGGGACAGAAAAAAAGGAATGTAAATTCTCTGGCCTATTGGATCTCAGTGCAACTAAAAGAAAGAAGCAGCCAGGAGCCAGCAAGCCATCCAGTAAAGGTGGCTTCTGTGCCGTGGTCAAACTAGCTGTAGCTCGTGGAATGAGACATGTGTGTGTGTGTGTGTGTGTGTGTTGCCCACTTCCCCCCAAACATCTACTTTGCTCTACTGTTTAAAAATGTAAAAGCTGCCAAGCATGATGGAATATGTCTGTGATCACAGCACTCTAGAAACTGAGGCAGGGGAAACCCGGATTGAAAGTCAGCCTAACCTGCGTTAAAATGTGTGTTCCAGGCCAGCGTGGGTTATGTAATGAGACCCACCCCCCACCCCCCCACCCCCATCTCAAACAGGCAAGAAAATAAAGGCCATCCTTAGCCCATAGTCTATTCAGACATGGGAGAGCCACCTGGCTGTCCCTAGTCAGTCCCACCTCTTCCCGTCTGTGGAGTTCGCGCTGCGTTGTCAAAGGTAGCACAGGAAAGAGACTGAGTGTATCTAGGTGCAAGAGGACGCCTTCTACCTGGGGCTATTTAAAGCGCTAGAGATTTTCTGTGACCCTTGCTCCCAACTGCTCCCGTGACTACAGCATCCTTTGAGGCCAAAGTAGGAATATTTCCCAAATGTGAGGCAGATGTTCCCACTCAGCATGCACCTGGACCTGCCCTCCCCCCCACCAGCTTAGAGCTAATGCACCCCCTCACCTCCCCCCAAGTAGTCACCATCTGACCCTCTGCTTCCCGACTCTGTCCTCTTGTCTTTCCTTGTCCTCTGACCCGTGGAGACATTCCTCACTAACCCAGTCTGGGCTTTCTGTTTTGCAGAAAAGGGAACCCCCTTTCTCCCGGGCATTGGCGCTATGATTCTCTGGGGGTAACCCAGGATAGAAGTAATGCAAGCCCTCGGTCCTCCAAATGAGGGCCCCCTCCAAGGTCTGGTTGCTTCCCGAATTGAGACTTATGGGGGCCGACATTCGACTTCTGCCCAGAGCCCTGCTGGGAATATCTATCCCAGAGGAGGCCCTGTATTGGTAAGTCTGCCTGTGCCCGGAAGGTGACCTGGGTGGGGCAGGAGGGAGGACACAAAGGCTTTGAAGTCTGTCCCCTTATAGTTTCTCAGGCTGCTCTATTCTTGTCCCTTAACCTCCTCTGCTTTCCGGGGTTGCTGGGAGAGGAGGGCCATGCCTGGGCTGGGATCCCAGGACTTCACACCCAGCCCCAGACAACAGAGTGACAGAGGCAGGAGCCCGATGGAGCCACACCCACAGAGGAAGGGTTGGAAGGCATTTCTGAGTTACTAGTGCAGTGGGAAAGACATCTCTCAGGCTCTACTTGTGAGGAGCTGGGAGGAGTCAAAAGCTTCCTGAGTCAGGACTGAAGAAGAGCAAAGGTTCAGGGTGCCCCGGTTCTCACAGGGAGGAGGGAGTGGAGAGAGCTGCCTTGGTCCCGCCCCTGGCTCCACCTGCCTGGCCCACCTCCAAGCCTAGCGGAGGTAAGGGGTGTGAAAGTCAGGGCCTTGGCTGGTTCAGCCCTCGGTGCTTCCTTAAGAGCAGGTCCACTTCTGGCTGGGGGCATTCCCTGCCTCCCTGGAGGATCCCGCCCCTGGAGATGGGGACGCTCCCAGGGAGAGGGTGGAAAGGGACACTAGGAAGTATGTAGGGTAATTCAGGCCAAGGCAGACAAGGAATGTGACCAGGCCTGCCTTGGGAGGAGACTTGTGGCCAAGGCTTCATCCAACCTCTAACACAGAAGGACAGCAACTCCCAGTGGCACAGGACACTAGCTGCAGTCCCTAGGGAGGAGGCTGCATCCTTGTGAGCCCCCGTTCACGTGTGTGTGTGAGGGAGGCTAGCTGTCCACAAAGAAATGAAGTCAGAACACAGCCTATATCGTTCACCACTCCTGTGAGCCCTTGGCACGGAGGGTATTGTGGATGGCTGGGTGGGCTGGAGCTGGATACCCACAGCAGAGCCCAGGCGTGTGTGTGCCTGTGTGTCTGCTCTGCAGGAGGCCTCAGCTTCTACCTCCGGGTTCCCTTGGGAACCAGGCAGGCCTGCCCTTGCCCAGCTGAACTTGCCCTGCCTGGCAGCAGGCACCGTGACTCAAAGCAGCAGTGGCAGCTCACACCAAACTGGTTGGATTAGAGTAGTGAGCCAGCCCGCCTTGCAGGAGCAAGGGATCATGTCCAGAGCCAAGCTCGGGGCCCGTCTGTCTCTCTAGTATTTCTGGTACTCCCAGAACTTCCCCTGCCTCCTCTTTCCCCAGGACCCTAGTCGCCGACGCCTCCATGTCCCTTTTGCCAAGGGCTCTGGCCAGACCAGAGGCCCATCTCCTCTGACGCTTCGGGAACCAGAGCTAGAGAAGAGGCACGGAAGCCACTTTGGGCTTGGCCCACCTCACTCCCCCAAACTCAAGGTAAGGATCCTCTTTACTTCCGTCTCGGTGTTCACAACCCCAGCCATGATGACCTCCAGAGACAACTCCATGAACCGAGCGCTGTCAGGGAGCCTCTGATCACAAGCGCCTTAGAGAATTCCTACAGGCACAGCTCTGTGCAGAAGCCTCCAAAGAACCAGCTCTGTATGCGACTGCTGCGCTGGATTCCATGAGCCTAAACTTTGTTTACTTGTTTGCTTGTTTGTTTGGTTGGTTTTTTAAGATAGGGCTTCACTGTGTAACAACCTTGGCTGTCCTGGAACTAGCTCTATAGACCAGGTTAGCCTTAAACTCACAGAGATCTGCCTGCTTCTGCCTCCTAAGTGCCCATTAAAGCTGTTCTCACCACCACCCAGCTAGGATAAATTATTAATATTAAACTCCCAGCTTTTGGAAATTACAAGATAATGTGTGAGCCAGGCATAATCTGTTCATCCCTATTTTCCCCGCCAGCCTTCACCCCAGGAAGCCCTACTGCATCCTCCATGTCTACTTAAGGGTAGAGTGAGGTTTAGAATTAATTATTTGTTTCCCACATTGTTTGGTACCAAAAGCAGTTATAAACTTTAAGGTGTGATGCTTCATAAATATCTCCACTTTGAGTCAAGTATTGGGATGCACATTTATAGTCTCAGCACGCAGGAGGCTGAGGCAGAAGGGTTGCAGGTTCAAGGTTAGCCTGAACTGCATAGTAAGTCCCCATCTAAAAACAAACAAAAACGCATCCATTATATGTCATTGTTACCTGAGGCCATGCTTTCTTAAGTCTAGTCCTGGTCTTTACTTGAAGGTTCCTCAGTCCGGAGTGTATAGCTCAGTGGTAGAGGGCTTGCCTAGCATGCAGAAGGCACTGGATTTAATTTACCACTCAACGCAAAACAGGTTTTTTTTTTTCTTTTTTCTCTTTCTTTTTTTCTTTTTGAATAAAGAAAATCAAATCTTAAAGACCATTCTGAAAAACATGACTCTTACTCTGTTCTGAGTGAGGAAACCTCTAGAAGATGTCATTCTGGTCAGGGAGGTTCCCTCAAACCCCTCTACCCAGGGACCTTCCTGCAGGCAAAAGTGTAACTTCTTTTCCTGGGTAATAACGACCCTATTCATGCCATGCCAGGCACACATATATATGCGTGTGTGCACACACAGCCCTTCCGGAGCCTGGGCACCAAATGTTGGGGGTGTACCAGGCTGACCACCTTCTCTGCTCTCCCAGGAAGTCACCAGGGCCCATGAGCTGGAGGTGAGACTGCACACTTTCAGCATGTTTGGGATGCCCCGTCTACCACCCGAGGACCGGAGATACTGGGAGATAGGAGACAGGGGTGACAGCGGCCTGACCATGGAAAAGTCCTGGAAGGAGCTGGTGCTTGGACACAAGGTGGGTTTGAAATGATCTGTGTCTCCAGAGCACATCAGACCCTCCTCCACACAGGCATACACACATGCATACATGCATCTCATGTCTGCCCTGGGAAAAGCAAAGGCCTTGGGATATGGCATCTAGAGGGGAAAGCTTCTAGAGATCTTGTTGAAATCCCAGCTCTGCCCTCAACTAGTGAAGTCTTGGTTATGGTGGAGGACCTCCCCAAGCCTCACTTGCTTCATATGGAAAATGGGGGTGATGCTACCTACCAACTAGAGGGTTGGTTAGGATTAGAAGGTCCTGTAGAGAGGGACCAGAAGCCCGGATCTAGCACTTAACAAATGGCACCTACTCTTATCAGCATTCCCCAAGTGAACCAGCACTGTCCCCCTCAGGAGATGAACCGGGAGCTTTGCCACCAGCAGGAAGCGCTGTGGGAGCTCCTGACCACGGAGCTGATCTTCTTGAGGAAGCTCAAGATCATGACTGATGTGAGCCACCTTCAGCTTCAACCTCATCTCCTCCCTACCTGGGTCCTT